TATATTAGAATATCAGGTGTTGAACGACATCTTTTCTCAACTGTAACTTTCTCTTGGAGAGACAGCTGTGAAAACGAAAGCTGTTGGAAGTTCACTTACAGTCACAGAATTTATTACTTGAGGATGCAATTACATGGTTAAAGTTTTCTGTAAAATAAAAGAACCTAAAAAATGAATCAAATAGAAATTAGCTGAAAAATAATCTAATCAAGAATATGGTGTATGGTTTTTAAACACAACACACGCGGAGTAAAAAAAAGAAAGAACCACCTCCCAATGGCACTCCAGATTCGGCACTGCAAGAGCGACAGTGCTTTTCTTCCCCTCGGCCTCGTGCGCTGCTTCTAAATGCGTATGCGCAGAACCAAGGAGGTTAGATTTGGCTCTTCTGCGCAAGGAACCTCCTTACGCAGAACAGCCAAATACCACACGCGGAGAAAAAGAAATCACGTTTCCAGCAACACGCCAGAATTTCGGCACTGCAAGAGTGACAGTGCTGTTCTTTCTCCATGACTCGTGTGCTGCTTTCTGTGTGCGCATGCGCAGAACAGCCCAACACCACGCCCCTGGAACTGTGAAGCGCGCAGTTCCATACAGAGACTCGTACCTTTTTCAAAAACTGAGAGATGGCTACTGACATTAAGCTTAAGACTTATATATTGTAGAAGTGTAAAGAAAGAATAAAGGGCACATTATATTAAATGTTAAAAATAATAAGTGGAAATAGGAAGTGCTGCAGTTCCACAATGCTTATTACGAGCCGCCACTGGAATAGAGAATCATTTCTCATGGCACCATCCGTAGTCTCATAGACTCTTGTATCTAACATATTGCTTAGTTAATCGCCGTCCAAGATAGTCCTTCAACCTATTGAGCCGACGCTGTTCTTGCTTTGTATTATGCGTATCACTTTGAAATAAAGATTACTTATTGTTCATTGCTGCATCTCTCTATTTGCCGAGTTTCATCACTTTCTTGCCCCACCTTGTGTTGCATTGGATTTTGAGATGTCATCTCAATGAATCGAAATAATCCGAGAAGAGGTATCTAACTGTAAATGAAGCAGAGGATTATCGAAACTATACAAAATGATGTCTTAACTGAAGACCATATTAAGAGTTAGAAGTCACTAAATATCTTGAAAGATGAAAAAAGGATTTATAGAATCACGACAAAACTAACGGAGAGAGATAATACATGACTATTTAGATTTGCTGCTATTCTTTCTAGAAAGCATCGAATAGTAGAACTTCTTATCAGAGAGACACATTGGGAAATGTTATACGCCTAGGTTTACGAGAAAAATTTTGGATTATACATGGAAGAAAATCTGTTCGCCGAGTAATCCAAAGATGTCAAAGACACAATTCCAAACCTCTAGAAACTCCATCAGTTCCTTTGCCAGAGGACCAAATTAAAGATGCTTCGATTTTTGAAGTTACGGGAGTTGATCTCGCGGGGCCTTTGATATTAAAAGGAGGAGGAAAAGCATGGATTGTGTTGTACACTGAGTTAATTACATCTTCATCAACCAAATCTTTTCTTTTAGGTATTAGAAGATTTATTTCTCGACTTGGCAGCCCAGAAATCATCTATAGTGATAATGGTTTGAATTTTGTTGGCGCGGCAAATTTATTTCAATCAATTCATTGGTCTGTTGTAAAACAAAAGGCGACACTTTATAAGGTATTTTCCCCGCCGCCTTAGCATGCCTTCGTAGTGTAGTGGTCAGCACGTTGGGCACGTATTCCAGAAGTACGGTTCGATTCCCGGCGAGGGCATTGCTCATTTTTCACACTTTTCCTACTAATATCTCCAAACTGGCGCCCGAGCTAAATGGGGGCGGATGATGATTCTCCATACCCAGGATTTAATGATTAAGCCCCATAAAAACCCCAATTGCCCTTTAAAAGAAGGAGTATATAAGGTATTTTCCCCGCCTTAGCATGCCTTCGTAGTGTAGTGGTCAGCACACTGGGCGCGTATTCCAGAGGTCCGTGTTTCGATTCCCGGCTAGGGCGTGGCTCATTTTTCACTTCCCCTGCTTCCAAATAATCCTAATGTCTCTGCAACTTAAAGAAATGCAATGGATGCTTAGTCTTCCCTCAGCCGCTTGGTGGGGAGGATTCTGGGAATGCCTCATTAAAATCATGAAAAATCTATTAAGGAAGTGTCTTAGGGAGAAATAATTATTACTCTTGAATTATGAAGAGTTGATGAGTGTTGAGTGTTCTGTGCGAATGTGAAGCTGTTGTTAATTCAAGATCTTTGATATGTACTTCTGAAGATCCCAATGAATTCATTCTACGGAAGCCTTCCATGTTTCTACAGAATATTCAGATAGTCGGCGTAACAGACCTAGACCGAATTGACAAAAAGGAATTTTTAAAAAAGATGAAGATACCTTCAAATATTGAGAGAAAATTTCAGAAAGCGATTTCGTGTGGAGTATCTCGGACAACTGCTATAAGGTAAAAATCGTAGAAAATATATCCAAGTCCACATTGGCGATGTGAGAGGGACTTTAATAGAGGAACCTTCTGAACTCTGGCAAAGGTACTACAGCTTTATCCAGGGAAAGATGACTACATCCGAGCTGCACGACCGAAAACTTCAATGGGAGAAATAATTCGGTTAGTTCGGAAAATATATTCGTTAGAGACAAAATGTGGGTCTCTTTCTCCTGATACTAACACTGGTATTACTTCAGATCCAGAAATGCCGAACGGAAAACAGGCTCCTACTGTTTCTGACCTAGATCCAAATGTATTGACTGTCGATTCTCCGAAAGGGGATTGAGGGATTTTGAATAATTAGAGGGCTCAACCATTTTCCACAACAGTCATTACCATGACTACAAGGTAAATAGGACTGACACTAGACCTTTTTGCTATAAAACTCTGCTGCTGGGTTCTTGCCTAAATTCTAAAAATCTAGTACCCTTAGATTCTGCTATAGGTGCGGCCTCACCGATGGCACACGCTCTGGCGCGGCCGATGCTATTCGCACCAGCGGTGCGATTATCCGCTTGACCTAGTCCCACCAACATTAACCACGCATGCGCATTGACTTCTCGTATCCGTTATTTGAATCCAATCGAAAAGAACGGATTCTACTTAAGCGAACTGCCTAAGTGTTGAAGTGAATCTTTTTTTTTTTTAAAAAGGCAGGTTACTACCTTGGCGTAGTTTATCATTTTGTAAGCGTTGGCGACTTTCAAAAGATTAGAAAGGAAATGTGTTTCTTTTCTTATATATATATAAAGAAGGAACACATTTCCTTTTATTAAAGTATATTTTTATGTTCGCAATGTTTATCGTTTTCTTGAACGGTTGGAATAGTTTAAATGACTGATTTGGGGAAGGGACAAAATCTTATTTACAATTTTTGTACTTCTTAGAATACACTTAGCTTCAAAGATGTGTTTTGCACAATCAAGACGTTAATTCATTACTCTGAAAATTTTCGTCTGAAAAAAGATAATAAAAATTAAACAGAAGATTTCTGTGTACAAAATTTAGACATGAGATAAGTTAAAAGCGTTTAAATCAACTATTAAATGAACAATTAATCATATAATACTGGATATAAAGAATTTTGTATGCCTGCTTATTTTTTTATGGAAATACTTGGCATTTTCAGGACACAAAGTATTTCAAAGAACTTTGAAATATTTGTGCAAACACATTAATAAATTAAATTAAAATAAATAATGGGATCTAATTTAAAAGACAGAAGAGATGTAAGAGATTTAGATTTAAAAATTTGCACGCACAAATGATGTATCAGATTTTATTTCATAAATAACTTTGATTTGAATAATGGCATTTGAACCTATAAACACTGACAGACTAGGGTCTAAGTTTGCATAAAAATTCCTCTGTTAAATAAAAGAATTTAAGTAAGTTCTGTAGCCTTTGTCAATACATCAAAGATTTTTTTAACTTATTATACGACCTTGCTTGCAATTAGAACCATCATTAAATCCCCAATTTATCTAATCCCTTCCTGAACATTATGGTGTATGCAGATTGATCTCGTCTTTGTAACTGATAATTATTACTTGCAAATTATTCTCTTGCTGGTGAATTATTTAATAGTTAGGACCCTAACTCTTATTTAATAGTTAGGATTAATAACCTTCGCTCTCGCTACGGCCTGCCTTACGGAAATCGGCGTAAAATGCTGGTACCTAGGCTGATTGTGCGCATGCGCGAACGTAGGTGGTCTGAATAGCCTCTTAGCTATTCGCACCGTCGGTGTGATTAGCCACTGCGCTCTGGAGGCAAACCAAATGGAGTTAAAATGACCTTGAAGTGTCTATCCTAAAGTTAGAGACTATACTTTAAATGATGATGCCATCCTAATTACACTGTTTCAACTATACCGTTCAGTTTTACTTAATTTTTAACTCTAGGTGATCGACCACAGTACTTTGCAACTGATGCTTTAACAGTTTCGATCAACATGTGTTTTTGAACACTTTACTTTTATTTGTTATACTTCTATGAGATGAAAGCGAGATATTGGGAAGCAACAAACGGGACAAGAATGAATTACGACAAGCTTAGGTTAATTAATTAAAGCAGAGGATATGAGGACTATCTTAATAAGGGAAGGAATGCCTTCGTAGAAATTTTTTAAAGAGAAGCTGGCTTCTGTTAGAAAATTACCTTGTACGATTAGAAATTGGTTTATACGATTTGAGCGAGCAGTAAATATAATGTAAATAACAGTAGCAAAACAAAAATTACCTACGCCTTTTAAATCACTCAAATGAACTATAAGTTTTCAAGATGAATGAATGAGGTAATATTAAGCACTAACAACGGTTTATTCATTTAAATGCAACTTAAAATTAGGACTGCTAACAATAAAAAAAAAAAGTACGTATGTCACTACTTAAAAATTGACAACCAGTGTTGCCATTCAATAACAGGAAAATGAAAAAAAAAAGTTGAAAATCATAGTTGAAATGACAGTCTTGAGAATATTTCATTAGGTCTAGAATTCGAAGAAAACTGTGAGACAACTGTAATTTAATCTGAACGCTTTAAATAATTCTTCAATCCATTTTTCTACAAATGCAAACGCAAATGTATTTCTTAAAGCCTTGTCTTCTCTCTGTGATAGTGTTTTATTGTATTGAATTGTTCGCATGCGCTGTTTGATTCGTTCAGCCTTCGTTTTCGTCTTAGACAGTAGGCTGACCGTTTTGCTACAGTCTGGATGCCAATGTAAATAAATGGCCTCAGCCGTGGTTTCCAGACTTGTTATGTATGAAAATTCTTTCTACTGTTTTTAGCTTCTGAGATTTATTTAACTTTAGATATATCATACATTTGTTATCCGATTACATTGTTATCTTTTGTAATGCAGTGTGGGTGAAGCTTTATATGTTGTATATCATTATTCTTACTGTGGGAAAATTGTCAATTTTCCGAATTTCATCCCCCGCATGAATTGTGAATCGAGATTTATAGCATCCCCTTCATTCCGAAACTAAATACATACATCACAGTTAATGCCTATTGTCGGAATACATATTCAAATATGTGCTGAAAATAAAATACCTTCTAATGCATTGAGATCCATGTCATCCTTATCATCAAATTGTGGTGGACAGCCCAGATTTATTAGTTATCATTTGCAGGCATTTCTTGTATGATGACATAAAAGTTGTTTAAATTAATGTAGTGAAATTAGCAACTTGTTTGTCTCATCTGCGAATTTGTGCTTAATCAATGTAGACAAAATAGATAGGCATGAAATGGAAAATTAAATACTCTAAACGAGAAATTGGTCATAAAATTTTTAGATGATTTACATTGTTATCTTTAGTAATTCAGTGTAGGTGAAGCTTTATATGTTACATATCATTATTCTTACTGGGCGAAAATTGTCATTACCAAGAAACCGAGATTACTTTTCTTAACCAAGAAAAGAAGGGCTTTTTGTATATTTTACACAACACTGTTTGTAAACTGTTGTAGTTAATTTTAATGTATTATCTTCTCAAAAGCAAAATCAATTCTCAGTAGGTATTTTAGATTATATGTTTTTTTTATGCCTTCCATTTTACATTCCAAAGTTTTACATTGTAAATAAATTGTCATGAATTGTAAAAGGTATTAAAACAAATTAATGTATAAAGCTTACTGAATAATTATTTATTCTGTGCTATACTTTTGTGGAGGTGTCTGTATGAAATATATCCAATTTATATGATATTTAATTACTGGCTCTATTTGCAAGTTTTTTACCTGTTGATTATTTATTTATTTTAATGCCTTCATATTTTGCATAGTGAATGTTAGGTTGAATTGAGGGCTTCCTTTGGCCAACTAGATAAAATTTTGGAGTATTGCTATAGTATCCTAGCTTTTATTTCTGGCAGCAAAATCTATGCTGGCTGCATGTATATTTTTCATGGTTTTTGTGAAAGATATAAAGATGAGTGAAATATAGTGCAGATATAAGAAAATGCTGTATGACGGCATCATTTTGCATAGCAAGTAGCTCTTGTTGTGACTTTGATAAAATTAAATGACCTAATTTGTGGTAAATTTAGCTGTTCTGAAGTGAGAATGTTTGGGATAAAATTGGCGATTTTGAAATCAGGAAGTTTGTAAATTCAGAAATGCTTTCTTCATGTAGATCTAACTGTAGATCCTTTGATCAGATCTTCAAAACAAATCTTTTAGAATATATGTGCGTTTCTACATAGCAGAGCAAGGCATTTAGCTTTCCTTTTGTGTACTTGTTCTGTTCAAATTTTTAACACATATGAATGAGATGAACCTTCAGCTGAGTAATTAATAATTATTAATGTTAAAAATCTGAAAAACAAGAGAAAGGTCCATATTTGGAAGGAATATTCAGTTTCGCTTTCTACTATTGCTTTGTAAAATGTGGCATAAGTGAATCCCTGTGAAAGAACTTAACCCGTGAGTGCATGCGCTGGGTCCAATGGACCCGCCCTATTAATGAAACGTTTCTAAAAACGTCCATATTTTTCCCAAGCGGTTGTGGTTCAGTGTAGTCTCCTCCAAGGCCATCGTCTTTATGTTTCCGAAATTTTTCTCTGGAAATTTGATTCAAAGTTTTGTTTTGACAGGTTCGGGGTCTTTCAGATCCAGCAAACCTATTCGCATTCTGTAACGTAGTTCGTTTGTGGTAGCACAGAAAGCTGCAAATATGTCACGTAATTTATCCTATAAGGAAGAAATGTTACGTTTGCAAAAATTATTAGATGTATGAACTGTTGAAAACTCCATTGAAGAAACTGATAATGAAAGTTATAATGAATTTTTTAGTTCTCATGATACTGATTCAGAAATCGAGATGCATTCTGAAAACGAAAATGAGAATGACATTTATTGCTTTATTGGAAAAGATAAAAAAAAAAAAAAAAAAAAAAAAAAAAATTCAAAAGCCTAAAGCTGATACTCATATTATTACTAAATTGCCTGGAAGCATCGTTAAGGCAAAATATATGCAGACTCCAAATGAATTCTGGGAACTTTTTACTAAGTGAACAAATGTTGCTGAAAGTCGTCAGGCATACAAATATTTATATTGCATCTATTTCTGACAGCTTTCAAAGAGAGAGAGAGATGCTCATCACACAACTTTAATTGAAATTTGCGCTTTCATATTTTTGTGACATAAGTCATCTCATGCAAATGTGCAGGATCTAAGGGTAACCGACGGAACCGGCTTGGAAATTTTCTAAAAAACTATGTCCTACAAACATTTTCTTTTTTTATTAAGATGTTTGTGTTTTGATGACATAGGAACTCACGTCATCAAGAAAGAATCAGATAAACTTGCACCTATTAGAGAGTTTGTGAATAACTGCGAGAAATATTACACTGAGCTCGTAACAATTGATGAAAAACTTGAAGCTTTCCGAGGAAGATGTTCTTTTAGGCAGTATATTCCTAATAAACTTGAATAATAATTTCTGAGTAGGCTGAATAATAATATATTCCTAATAAATTCTTTAATAATATAATACATTTTTCTATTCCATTAAACATTTTTATTTCATAAAAATATTATAGAAATTAAAATTTTAGTTTGCATAATTTGCATATTTTTAAAGTTTGATCATAATATTTTGGTAGTACCACTTTTACCTGAAGAGTAACAGTTTTTTCTTAAAAAAACACGAGCCGGGTCTTTTGGATCCAGGGTGCGCGCTCGTGTAACTCAAAAGTGCGCGCGCGCATTCCTAGGTTAACATTGTTTGCTATACTAATCATATGATACAAGTATTAGAGAAATTCATGCAGTTGAAATGAATATTCAGGTTCTGCCGTCTTTCGATAATCATTGTTTGAGAAAAACTTTAAACTTAATAGATGTTGAAGTGACAGTATATGTACAATTGTCATAATTGCCACGCATTGATATGCTAAATAAATTAATCATGAAAACAGTGGGTAGATATAGTTTATTTTACTCTGATAAAAGAAATCAGTAAAGTTTTAAACGACCTAATAGTATGAACACGCAGAATAATAAAAATGATGCAAGGCTAATAATATTTAGTTGAGTTATATTTTCAAGTTGATTTTTATTTTGTTAATTGTATCATTTCGATTTTACGGAAAGTTCTGGTTAGAATGCTAGTGTGTAAACTTTTTGCAAGTAATTGCTCCAATCTATTACTGTTTCATCAGGCATATTCATCTAACCAAATTATATCTATTACTGCACCCTTTTTTGATGGTAGAATTCCATATCTTTGAAAATAATCAACTGCTTGCTATTTTGTAGAAAGCGGATTAAAAATTTAAATTTTTTTACAAATCCATGAAGAAAATATAGCAGTAACAATTATAATTTATATCGCTTCTCAGCCTATCGGCTAAGATCAAATTGTAGTTGGTTTGGTTAATTAAAATTACGGCAAAGCACATTAGGGCTATCTGCCTAAAGGGAGGGATGCCTTCGTGGAGGACTTTCTAAGGGAAACTGGCTCATATACACGTTACACATTCAAATTGTAGTATCCTGGTTCATAAAAACAAAAGGTGGTTTATCGAGAATCAATTAGGTTACAACAAAGAAAGTGTACATATTATAAGTATATTGTTATGTATTACTTAGCCATAACTGGTCCTAAATTGCAGTGCTTGGTGACAGTTCCATGGTCAGTGTGATAATATGCAAGTACCATATCATGTAGTAGCAGTGCGGGATTTACGTATAAGCTACACAAGCTATAGCTTATGGCCCCGCACAAAAATTTAAAACATAGTATAAATATGGTATTAAAATATGGTATAATAGACTTATAAAGGGTCCCATGTTTCAAATAGCTTAGGGCATCAGCAACTCTAAATTCAGCCATGTGTAGTAGTATATACAATTCTTCGTTTTAAATGATGTATTGCAGCTACATAAAAGGAGTGCCAAAAAAAGCTTATAAGGAAATAACTGACTTTCATAAAAAGTTTTATAAACATACTATTGAAATATTGAGATTATGTTTTCTTTCTGTAGCATTTTAGTTAAGAGTTGAAGCTTTACTGAACAATAAAAAAAACATAAATAAAATAACTGAAAGTTTTCAGATTTTATATTACGCTGAAAGTTCTTCTTTTTTAACATTTTGTGTTTTACCCTTATTTATTAAATATGATGTTCTTCGTATTTTAACCATAAAATTCATTTCAACAGGAATATCACAAAATAATTTAAAAAGAGCGTATCTTTAGAAATTCCGATACACAATCTCGCATGCGGGAGATAAAAGTGTTTTCCCCCCTACAATGTTGGCTTTGCTCTCTTTGAAATTGTTGAGTTTCTTAATTAAAAACTCATAAATGCTTTACAAAATATGAAATAGGTAATAAAACAAATTCCAAATTTGGGCTTCCAGATGCCCATATTCGAGGGGAGATGTACGTTATCCAAAATTTGGTGGCTCTAGGTACCGCTGTTATCACAGTGCAACAAACATACATATAGTTATGCAGCTTCTTCATTATTTAATTTCTTTAAATATAATAAAAGGTGATAATATTTGGTGCCAACAATTTGAAAAGTGATTCAGACTTTTGAAGTTTTCGTTGCAAAATGCCAAAATGAAATTAATAGCACTTTGGGCTAAAAAAAGTTAGTTTAGCTTTATTAACTATTGACAATATTTTGTAATTTTCATTAGTCTCATAATTTAGTAAACAGGTTGAATGTAATGAAAATTTGTGCATTTTTTGTTTGTTTGATTGCTGTAAAATGAGCAGTATTTGAATATAATACTAATTTCAAGTTAAATATTTATCATAATTTTTTTATTAGCTTAATCTTTGGAACACTATATCCTGCATATGCATCATATAAAGCAGTCAAGACAAAAAATGTGAAGGAGTATGTAAGTATGCTTTCATTATTTTCATATTTGTGAGGTAAGTTACCCCTGAAAAAATAATATTTAAGAATTTTTGTTGGGGATGGATGGACTGACAAGAATTAAAAGTGTTAGGAGAAAACATAAATGAAAGAAATGCTGGTAGAAAACGAACAAAGAACTAAATTAATTGGTGTTAGTGTGTATAGATGCAGAAATACAGTAGTCTGCTCTTTTAAGAGTGAAATAAGGTGTAAGAACTCATAATTAAGTGAAATCAAATTTCAGCAATACAAGAACAAGGAAATGCATTAACATTTTGTGTGATAAAAAATTTTAAGATCCTTGTTGAATGCTTTTTTTGTTTGAATATTAATAATTCCTTTGTTCTATTTATTGTACAAAATTCAAATGTTGAAGAGCAATGAACAGTATGTAATTTGATGTTTGTGTATTATATAAACAGCTTTAGTACATTCCTTACATATTTTCAGGGAAATAGAAGGTCAGTAAGTTTGTATATTTTTTAGATGTTGAATGCTTTATGTTTGTCAAATATTTTCAAAATTAAGTTGCTTCTCATAGGTAACATATCTCCAAAATATACGTTATATAGGATGATCAAAAAGTAATGGTGAGTACGTAACATTTGATGATAAAATGTACAAATTCCAAGACATAAAATATTTGTTATTAATTTTCATTTCTCTACATCGAACAATTTAGCATCAGACCATGTTTTTATAACCTAATGTTCAAAATGGCAGATCTCTTTAGTATTGTATATGTGTGCTTATTTTATCATGTTTACCATATCATTTTACCACATTTGTACAATAATCCACTGTTGTAATGTTTCTGTTTAGGTCCTGAAATGTGGGTTATTTGTATGGACCAGGGGTCGGCAACCGATTGAAACGGAAGAGCCAAACGTTAGAGTTTACAAAATTTCCCAGTTTTTAAAGAGCTACTAAAAAGTTTCGTTTCAGTATTATAGTTTTGCTTGTATATATTTGATTTTTGACTTAAAATAAATGGCTTTAAATACGGAATAATATATATGTATACATATATATAAGCACAAATATAGATAGTTACATCAATGGGAGCATTGGCTTTGCATACCTTTTGAATGGTTGATTAAATCTGGCTGATAACTTGTTGATTTAAGTTTCAAGCACAACTCAAGATTTTTATGTGTTAGTTGACTTCAAAGTTTACTTTTTAATATATACTTGCAAGAAAATGCTTGCTCGCACAAATATGTTGACCCGAGGATCGTCAGTACTCCATATGCCAACTCCTTCACCTCACTGTATCATTCTGGAAGACTATTCCATGCGCCGAATATGAGGGCCTCAACTCGCGGAATTTTGTTTAGAGCTGTCCACTTGTGTTGCTCAATGTGCATGCATTTCTAGGCCTCTAACTCTTCCAACTTGCTCTTGAGTTCTGTGAACTTGTCACTCCAAAAGTCTTTGGTTTTCAAATATAGCAGTTGCATTTGAAGTGATCCAGCATCAATTTCAAAGGTCTCATTGTCGATATCATTTGTATTTGCGTTGAGAGGATTTAGTATGAACGCAAGAGTTCTTTTGTTTGTTTTGAATTGCTCGAATCTCTCAGTGAATCCATCTTTCATTTTTTTAAAGCTATGTTGAAGTAATTCATGTCAATAGTTGTATTGGTCTCAGTGCGATATACTTCAGATTTTTAAAATTAATTAATTTACCGCTCTCCATGTCCAAAAATAAGTAGTTTGTTTTCGAAACACACTACTTCTTTAAGCAAGGCGTAGGCTGGGTTTCCTTTTCCTTGCAGTTTTATATTTAGTTCATTTAGTTTCATTGTGGTGAGGCTCGGTAGCGCAATGGCTAGCGCATCGCACAGCAGCACCACAGGTCCGGGGTTTGATTCTCGGGCTGGGCAAGGTCGACTCTGCCTTTCATCCTTTAAAAGGCTGAGTCGACTTATGGTATCTACCATGAAGTAAAATTTTTGTAGCCATTTGTCTTCTTCCGATTCGGGATGGTCAATGCATTTCTTCATTAAGGAATGTTTTTATTTCACTCAAGCACAGAGCAAAACGTTGCAATACGTTACCTCTGGAAAGCCATCACACTTTATTGTGCAGAATTAGGTCAGAAAACTGGATATCTATCAAGGAAATCTTCAAACTGGTGATGGTAGTGTGCTTTTGCAAAAATATTGTTAATAATCTTAATTACCAAGTTCATGACCTCAACTATTTCGGCCAGAAATGTTTGGGCACAAAGCGCTTCTTGGTGAATTTTACAGTGAAAGTTAGAATTTCACTGGTTTATTTTTTCTGAAGAATTGATGTTACCCCTCTATGTAGTCCTGTCATACTTCTTTATCAGTTGCTATGGAAACGATTTTATTTATATCAGTTTCATTGTCTTCCAGGCATTTTTGCCCAAACATTTGCTATAATTTCTCCACGAGTTTGCCCTGAGATCGATAGCAATCCTACAGTTCTTCGTTTGGACCTTGGGAGGACATATACTATTCGAAAAGGATAACTTGTGCCATGTCTTTTATGTCACAAGGTTCATCTATAGCAAGTGATAAGGCAGAAGGCAGCTGAATGTCTTCCACTTGCATATGTGTTACATCTTAAAAGATCTATCTTGTACTGTTTTTGCAGATAATGACAAATCTTTGATTTTTTTCATGATTTCTGCTTTGATTTTACGAAATGGTGATCATGAAACAGTTATTCAGATGCACATATAAAACAATCTTTGAAGTATTCACCATCTGAGAATGGTTTTATTCTTTTTGCAATTTCTAATGATATTGCAGAGCTTGCCAGATTTACATTATTGGAAAATTGTGCCCAGTTACTTAGCATGGAACTTGACTGTTGTTGTTTTCTTTATGGAGCTTATTAAGAGCTTTTTTCATGCGTCCCCGGGTGGATATTTACCAGCAAACTGGGTATATTTTGTAGTGAAGTATTTTTTCAAATTCGACTTTTTATTGTGTGAGAGTTTTTGGTGGTAAATGAGACAAGTCAGATCTATGTTGCATAAGAATGCGAACGACTCCACCCAATCCTGATTGAATTCTCGGTTTTCTTCTTCAGTTCTTCTCTTTTTTCTAGAGGCCATGCTGACGGCTTAACTGAAAAAATGAACAATAGTTCAAATTAACAGACAGTAACAATGGTTCAAATGTATCTCATTACGGTCATGTTAAGTATAGCTATTTGTAATTAACGATTATGAAAATAGAAGCTATTGAGAAATTAGGTACTTAAAAATATATTTTCTTATTTTTTAAGGGTTTTGATAATAAATTATTAATTTTTCCGTATGGAACTGGAGAGCCGCAACTTTACATCAAAAAAGCCGCAGGTTGCCGACCCCTGGTATAGACCGTTCCTTTGAAGTAATCCACAAGAAAAAGATCTTGGGGAGGGCAAATCAGGTAAACACTGGGACGATAATCTTTTCAAAATGATACAATTGCCAAAAAACCCACATAAAAAATGCATGGTTTAATTGGATGTGTGACAAGTGGCACTGTCTTGCTGGAATCAGAAGTTATGTTCATTGACATCAGGAAGCACAGAAACTGAGTAATGATATCTTTGTATGTTGCACTGTTCAAATACTGTTTAACGATGAAAGACCCTATTCTCCAATGATGAAACTCCATTACTTCAGAGAAAACAACACAATTAAGTTATAATGTACATGCCCTATGACACAGATAACATGTGACTTGTATATTCATTGTTAGTATACCTACAGTGTTATTTAGCAACTAATGATACATGTGTTACAATTGCCATTCAATTTATAATAACAAGTTTTACTTGATCTGGGTAACTTTTCAATCATCCTGTTTATTATATACTGAATATACGTCATAAAGCCACAGCTGTAGGAATTGATCATAAACATTTTTAGTGAATAAATAAGTGACTTAAAGAAGAACATTATTGTGTCATTCAGTAGTTGTCTTTTGAAACATTCTTTTCATTCCATTGTTGGTGTCTGGAAAAAATGGATGTTCAAATTTACCATCTGTTTAGACAAACAATCAATTGGTCACTGTGGTTCTCCTGTTGGTCTGTTAAAAATTTGAAGCATTTTGCAATTAAACTTACCTTGTTCTTGAAACATATTCATAAATTAGCATTAATCAGGGTTTGTAGCGGTCCTTATAAGTGCTTATAAGTCCTCATATTTGAAAATAAATTATAAAAGCCGCAACTAAATAAACAACTTTCTTTTTCTTATCTGGAGGGTCAGATTGTGAATCATACTTCTGGAAATAGCTTTCTCGCCATTAACGTAACCTTTAACCTTTGATTCGCGCTAGTAGAGACAGGTGAACGTCGTTCTATTGGTCAAAGAGTTGTGAAAGGGGTAAAGAATTGCGGTATATTTCACACACGTTTCCTCCCACCCACATTCTATAGAAGTTCCAAATCCCACGTGGTCAGTTTATATTCACATTTATTACCAGTGGTGTAGCTAGGGTGGGGCAAGGGGAGACATCTGTCCCCGGGCACAGCATCCAGGCAGCGCCAAGTTGATGCTACAAAATTTTTTAATGAAATGTTTTCCATTCATGGCGTACAGAAGGGGGCGCAAATTCTTCAGTTGTTCCCAGGCGCTGGAATGCTAGCTATGCCACTGTTTATTACGATCGTTATCGAATACGTATGAATATTTATAATATATTTGCAGTAAATTCTGAAATGGGTAAGTGTGTTTTTAACCCAGATTAGCTTTCAAAGGAAGAATATTCTGAATGGCTTAAAAAAAGCAAAAATAATCGCCAGACCATGTGTTCCTGGTGTAAAACTGAAATAAACATAACAAGTATGGGGAAGTCTGCTTTAAAGTGTCACATGGATCGTAAGTAAACTTTTTTCTATTTAATTATTATTAATTCTTGTGTGAAAATAAAAAATTTAAATCTCCCATAGACCGCTGATTTATTTATTATTATTTTTTTTTTTAAATTTTCATTTTCTGCTTTTGAAA